TTTCTTGCCACCCATTGAGGAGGTCTGAGGATGACTGCCTTTGGCTGGTTTCTGAGCTGGCCTCTTGAGGGCCAGATGAACAGAGTCCTAAAATCTCATCCTAAAAATGATTCTAAAGCCCAAAGACAAGTGCGGTTGTACCACACAGCCCCCCAAGCACTTTGTGGGAAACTAAAACAGCAGTCTGCTCTGGAGCCCTAAGTGTAGTCACTTGTGTGTGAGGAGTCACTTGTGCCACGTTCTTCCTACTGTCAGCTGATGAGCTCCGGGGATCTCATGGATGGTGCCTTCTGCTGATAGGTCCTGGCCAATTTACAGGCACCTGATGACCCAGCTCTGGCCTGAGGTGGCTCAAGTTGAGCCACATTTCTCACCTGCTTGACAGACACCATCCAGTGAGTGAGGCTCTTTCAGTAATTCAGTCCTCAGAATGGGAGATTTGATGTACAGTGCTGCCCATTGTCCAGCTAATTCTACCAGTAAAATCCTAGCCCAGATACCCAGCAGTGAAGGGGTGGTGAATCTTGTGTTATTCACTTAGGCTTTTAAATTTTTGACAGCGATAAATAGGTAGGTAGGCAGGCAGGCAGATAGGTCAGTTTATCTCTGAAGATTGAGTACAGGGCTAAGCATACTCTACCACTAAGCTATGTCCCCAGCCCCTTAGTGGGCTCTTTGAAAGAGGTAGTGATGCTGCTTACAAGGGATACCACCGTAGGTTCATTGAAGGGGAAAGACATCATGTTGGCGGACTGTGTATTTATAACTGGTCCAGAACTTCCCTCAGGTTCTAGCATCAGCTGTCCTTTTTCTTCTCCCTCCTTTTCAGTCTTTCCAAGTTGATAAGTGCCGTCTCCTAGCTCCAGTTCTAAGCATTATGAAGGAGCATCTCTCCTACTGCTGGAAATCAGTCAGGCAGTGTGGCCCTGGTGGGGGGCCTGGCAGTGGAGCCCACAGGCCTGTATTTGAATCCTGGCCCTACTGCTGAAGGCAGGTTGCTCTACCACTCGGGTCCTGTTGCCTCACTGGCAAATGAAGATAGTGACGCCGTCCACAGGGTACAGACACACGCTGATGTACTTAAGTCCTCATCACTGTGATTGTCACTCGCCAGTCCCAATATCCTGGAATTGGGTGGGGAGGGGGATGTCAGTAGCTTGACAGAAAGATGCTCCCTCTTCCTGCTAAGTCTCTGTCTACTCTTCCCTCAGGCATTCCCATCAAGAGTACCATGGACAATCCCACCACCACACAGTATGCCAACCTCATGCACAACTTCATCTTGAAGGCACGGAGCACCGTGCGTGAAATTGACCCCCAGAACGACCTCACTTTCCTCCGAATTCGTTCCAAGAAAAATGAAATAATGGTTGCACCAGGTAAGAGGTCTTCCACCTGCCCACTTAGAAGCAGACCTTCGTGGCATATCAGGAAGACCTGGCACATTGGTCTGCAGAGGCTCAGTGGGGGACCTGAGGAATTGAAAGAATCCAGTTGCCTCACTGCCTAGCTAGCATCCCCCAACAAACCTTCACAGCAACTGCAGGCCTTACAGGGGGATCATGATCT